ACTTCCATTATTATGAAGGCTGCAATTAATATTAAATTTATGTACTGTATGTACGTAAAGTAATAAGTTTTTAAAGTTTTCTTATTCTTAAATTCAGAATATGATTTTAAATCTATTGATTATTTTTAAAAGGTTTAAGTTAAATTTAGTTCCGTAAACGTTGTGTTCATAAAAACGTTATTGAGATATAATCAACATTTCAGACATGTCTTTCTGAATATCTTATAATAGGTACATACGAAAAGCAATTCCTTTTTATGGTTGGTTATAGATTTTATTCTTAGAATTATGAAATTATTTGACGGCATTCAAGGAAAACAAATAAAAAAGAAATTGTTTACAGTTAAATCTAAAGATAAATGTTCTGTTAATGCGGGTAGTGCACTGAAAACGTACAATCACAATCAAGGGGCAAACATCGAAAATGCATATATTTTTTGGAAGCTATGGAAAGTCTTACATTGCATTTAACATGAAAGTTTTTTATAAAATCTAACACCAAAATAAGCATGAACTTAGTGTTAAATTGGCGTATATAATGTACAAAATCTTTAAACGAACAACATTTTAAATATTACACATGTATTCTTTTACTTTTTATAAAAAAAAATCACTAAAAACTGTTAGCATAATAAAGCATAACATCTATTAATACATCTATATGAATGTTTAATTAATATAGTTTCTTTTATACAATTTTCACGCTACAATACGAACGTCACAGTTTTACGTAGGTCGATAAATTTTTAATTTAAGTATTACGTCAGAGTTTTATCATAGATTAAAGGCTTAAGCTTTAATCTTTACTTGTACAGATGAAGATATATATATTTTAAAATTCCATACAAATTTAATACGTAAAAGGTTTGACATTTACGTTGTATAAATATAATGAAAGAATTTTGTGGTATAATAAATAAGAAGCGTTGTTAGGCTTTAATCAACACTCTATTTTTGACTCGTTGACATGTCAAGAAAGTTTTAACTATTTAAGTAGATTACATACTTAATTTTTTACTTTTTTTTATTTGATTGCAATATTTTCAAACAGATGTCATTTATTAGATATAGATAATTCTGTTATCCAAAGATTATTTTGGTTTATTTTACTATGTATGTAGATCATTTTAAACTGGTTTCGAAATTTGTATAAAACTGTGACGTATTTATATTGTTTTGAACGAAAATGTTAAATTAAAATCACATTTCCTTATACTTAAAATCCCTAACGTCAGGTTTTTGAGCTATAAAACGAAAATTATACACAAATAATCCGATCAACCAGAAAATATTGGCATAGATACGAGTATAATTTATAATAGTCACTAATAAATGGACCTAATTTCACGTTCTGAAATTGCTTCCCTGTCGCGTGTTACGCAAAAGTGACCAAATTACATCACAACAATGGAGGCTTCAGACCGATGTTAAGCCACCTTCACACGGATCTTACGTGATACCTCTGTTTAATATGCACTCATAGAGACTCGACACAATAGTATCATGTGTGAATGGGTCACTTATCTTGGAATCAGTAAGAAATATCGTTTTGTACAGCATGAACCTAACCTATTATTACTTGCATATATTTTGTACTTTATTTTCATTGATTAATGATTTTTTTATGGTGTAGAGAAAAAATACCCCCTATATTTTTTTATAGTATACATTTCATAAAAATTACGAGATGAAACATATCAAAACTATCACCACGGCCATAGGTTGGACAAACAAGACTTTAGTAATTGTTACATATAAATTGAATAGTTGGTTCTTCACATAGTTATTTTTGAATTACATTGTATCCTATAAAATATTCCATAGTAATGACAATGATAGAACAATAAAACAAACTATTGATAATCTTTAATCTAAACAATCTTTAATACTAAAAGTGTCTCATTAATCTGGTTAATGGACTTTAAATATATAGGAATAGTGTCTGGACGCACTTAATATTATTATCTTAATAAATATAAATTTTCATCGTGCACATATTTTTTCGAGAAATAAACTAAGAACAGTTGAAAAAAAATCTACAAAGTTAACCACTGTCCCAAGAGCTCTATATATTTTCAATGAGTGCTTATATTGTATTTCTGTTTTAGAATGTACATTCCACAGTCATAGTACTTGCTAAACAGGTCTCTCATTATTAGTATTTTTATTGTTAGCCCTTTGTAAAAATCTAGTTTTTATCGCGATCTAGAATGTCTATTATTAGATTTTGGTATCAGTTTATAGATACTTATAGGTTTTTATACACATATTTCAAATAACTCAACAGGCTGCGCTAGAAACATTCTTTGTAAATCTACTTTTAAATGAACAGGTTATTTTAATGGGAGATTAAACTACTGTATTACTTTGAAGTAATTTGATGCTTGTAATTGGATTTTTTATTAATAATATATATCTTTGTACATTACTTGTATATAGATATTATATAATATTCAGGTACTATATATATTGTATGTCTAACTATTCTGTCGCATATTAACAATCAAGACATTTATTTTATTATTTTATGTCATCGGAACGTGCCTTTGAACTGTTATATATATTTTTATTGTCGAATCGTGTCTAAACGTTGAATTTATTCGCATGTTATTGACTGAAGATAACGAGAGTACAGCGTTAGTGGCACGTTGTTACACGCAAGTCGTACTAACATATGTACGTCTGATGCGTGAAATGCGTGTATTTGCTCTGATTTGCAAAACTTTCTTTACACACCATACATTAAAATTAATGTGTATTTAATGCATTATTTATTAATGATATTCTCTCGGTGTTCATAATTAAAAGGACTCGTTGAATCTTAAATTAAAATCACGTTCAGTAAACCAGCTTTGTACGCGGCTTATCAATCGTGATCTGTATTCACCTGTCGGCGCAAGGCTTAGTCCGGATACCATTTTTCGTACATTATTCGCTTATCAGAGACCCTTTATGTTTGTATATTTAGAAACGGAAACGTGTTAAAGGGACAACGATCTCATAATACCTTACTGACACTTGTCACTTGGTGTGAGTGTTTTTGAACGATAACGAAAAGAAAATTCAACTGATAAAATTTTTGTTTATATCAGTATTTAATACCTTAATGAAACATACTTTTTCTTATATTTTCTATTGTCCGATTGTTACAAATGTCACGATATAATTGTAAATAGTTTATTTAATTGAGATCAAGGTCAGAACGATCGAAACAGGTAGGTAAGAGCGAAATGTTAGCGTGGGATATGACAATTTAATAAAAATAACGGACTTACCTATAACGTCCTAGATACGGTCCAATATATAAAAATGTATTAATTATTTTTATGATATAACAACCAGGTCATGGTTTTAATGATATTCCTTAATTTAATATTTAATATCTTTATCCATTTCCATTAAATAATTCCTTTCCATTATCCATTTTTCGTAAATCGTCGCTTTGAATCGTATTGTAAAATTTTTGTCAATGTATTTAATAAATACGTTTGAAGTAATTGTAATAAAATGTCAGGCATCATCTGTTGTATTTTTTTCGCTTGTGAAGTCAATCTTCTATGTTATCCCTTAATTGGAATGTCTGTAATGTAAAATTCGTTTGTCATTTTTTTATTATAATCCTAATAATATCTTTGTAAGATTGTAATGAAAATTCTCGTTTTCTATTGTTTTCTGCTTTATTACAATGGTAATTGAGTTTGTTTTTATTTGTGTGAGGTTCGTGTAAGGCGGCGACATCTCGACGGTACTAAGTATGCAATGTACAATGTTTGTAACAATTTATTGACTGAAAGCGATATAGATTGATGAGAATGTAATGTTTAAGGTTATTTTATCGCCGTATGGGGATTTTATTGAAGACAAGACGTCGCTCATAAATACTATCTAATACTAACTTCATACGTGTTTTTGTTCTTTATTACATAGAAATATTTAGGGCCTCGTGATACAGAGAATACTTTAGGTTTTCCAGAATTCTCATTTATGAAATATAGATAGAATTCCTTGGTATTATGTATGTAACAATGATTTTATTTCTTCATAAACCTGTCCTAATTATAAGTTGATTGCTAGATTCCCATCTATAAAAGTATACAGACTCCTTGAAAACAAGATATGCTTAATTGGTTACATTTAATAATTTTTCTCATATCTCGCAATGTTAACACATTGATTAATTGTTAAGGCCGTAATTTGGCCTTTAAGTCCGCTGCTTATAAAACGATTTTGTTGCAAAATCGATAACCTTTTGATGTATAAAAAAATAAATGACGCGTTTTATCCGAAACGTATATTTAAATATACTGAATAGGTACATTACTATTCACTTGAAATTATACTTAATTGTAATAAAATTATCTAAAAAAGAATTCAATGATTTCTTAATCAGCTGCTAAGTTATATAAATTAACTATAGTTTTGTTAAACACTATATAAGTTCTAAGAATATATTTTTTTGTTAAATACCATTATATAGGTATATGTTCTTTTGAGAACGACCTTGGCAAACTTCCCCGTTCCACTGCTGTCTCTTGGGACAGGCAAAATTACGTTGGTTTGTTTACATAACAAGAATGCGACGAAATTAAGTTTCGTAACTTTTGTTTGAAGCGAAAAATAACTTTATTACTATTGATATACTGTTAATATTAGCTCAACATTTTGTAGTATAAATTATTGTTGAAAAAAAATTTAATGCATTGAAGAAGCAATCTCAGATATTTGCACGTAATACGTAGACTTCTTCTGACTTCGAAGTTAGTCATAAAATGCAGTATGGAAAAGTTTTGCATAGAAAAATATCCTACAAGTAAAAAACAACAATATTGAAAACTAATTTTTATACTTAAAAAACAGCTTCATACATACAAGAGAGATGATCTGAGGATCTTAATCAAACAGTTACCAAGCTTAAAAGATAACTTCATAGGTAGTTCAAATAACTGTTGCCCCACTGAATGTTAGAAACGAATGTTTTATTCCATATCATATTTATTTATATGAAATATTTGCTGGACTGTCCGACAGTTGGACATCTTATATCGGGTAATTGATACCTTCTTATGATGACATTGAAAGATAATAGCATTGAGAAATGTTACACCTTCTGTATTATCGTCCCATACTTGTAATTGACGTTCGACATATATCAAATTAATTTAGGGTTTTGTACCATAAATATTAATTTATTAAGTGACGAATAAAATAAGTCTTTTATTGTTATATGTTAAAAATTTCGACTTCATTTGTAAAGTTTTTCATCAAATAATCTTAATGAAAATTTTCGACATTAATTTTCTTTGTATTTTTTATGGTTCGTTATCGAAACTTCATCTTGTTTAATTAAAATTGAGATTGTGTATTAAATTTGTTACAAACTGAAGTAACATTATACTCTGTTGTGTCAAACATGAAAGTATAATAATAAAACAATGGTTATAATCTATACATTTTATTTTATTATACATAGTGATGTTTATTTTGAAATTAACTTGTAGCCGTATTAGTTAATTATAGCCAATTAAATCTAACCGAACATCGCTTTTCCCTTTTACGATTTTGTTAAACCGGTAATGTTTACTGTCATATAAATTTTTAAGGTTAATATTATTTACGTCAACTTTCTCACTGTGTTCTCGTTCCTATTCCACTCTTGTGTTCATTGTGTTTATAACAATAATATTGCAAAACCGATATCAAATATTATTTTTATATTAAACAGTGCGCCGTTTTCAAGGTTGTGTTGTATTGAGTGTGAGATAAGAAGTGATTAAAGATATCAATCGATTAAGAGGTCGTGAAGGGTATTAATATTTCAAAGTGGCGAAGTCAGAGTCGAGACTTGTGTTAGTGGCTGATGGTGATGATGATGGATGCTGTTGTCCTGGAATGAGGATCAGTGACTTGGGAGGGGTACTCCTTGAAGCTGCGAAGCTGACGAGGTCCTGGTTCTGCCAGAAGCCAGATCACGGGTAAGAAAGAAGAAATTTGATGAAACTCCTGAAATTCATCGAAGTCTATATATTCATTCTGTTTTATATATAGCTTAACTCAAATTCCTTATATTACTTTAATACTTAGGAAGATGTATTCAGCATTTTCTACTTTTTAAACATACAAAATTATCATCCAAAAATTCAAGAGAAGAATGATTTTATGAAATATTTAAGTTTATGTTCGTGTCCCTGTAAAATAGGTAAATATGAAAAGGTCGTTACATTGATTGGAGAAGGAAAATAAATGAGTTTTATATTAAGATTCTTTCTGTAACTACAAAATCCAATTCACTGTCAAACATTTATAATTGAATTGTAACAGCGTGGACCGAAACCTATTCCGCCAAACCAATCTATATCTTTCATATCTGGTCGTTTCAATAACAGACCATTTTTTGCCGAAACTAGGTCGCTCCTGCAGTGGGTGCATTCGACCGTATTAATGAAGTCGGTGAAAACTCGATAGAGTGGCTCACGGCTTACCCCCCAGGTTATAATGGTGGGGATGTCTCGCTCCATTTGACGAACACACCATAATACAGTTTTATTAAACAACCTAAAGGCATTTTCTCCCATAGAAGATTTAATTATCAGATAACCTATATGTGACTTTTATGTACAGTGACTCAAAGATTCTTTGGTGTTATTAAAGAGAAGAAATTGTGCATATATTGAATTAATATTAATGTAATACGAGTATATAATACGCGAGGCTCGTGTAAAAATGTAAAGAAATATTATATTATGTTTATTAAGATCTGTATTGCTGAAAGTATCTTCTCATTATTTTCAATCAAAGGGTTATATTATTTAAAATCTGAATTACATTCAATTATTATTTTTGTCTTGTAAATAGTTACGTTGTTAAAAATACTGCACCAATTTAATTGGGACGTACATTGGATACTTGTCTGTACGAGTGCCGCAAGGCTTTGTACTGGCAGCCCTCCAACAAACACTAGGTCAATTAATAATTGACTGGCTTTGACTGGCTTTATCGCCAGAATTATCGCCATTAAAGAAATTTCTTTGTCAGCGGTTTTTAAAAACATTTTATCCTTTTGCTTTTACTGTTGATTTAACGAAAATTAATTGTTTATTCTTCTTCTATGTAGTGTGAGATAAAAGCTTTAGTATTTTTATGTGTATTGTTGCTGCATTTAGTATAATGTCTTTATATATAGACCTAAAAAATAACAAAAAGATTGAAAAGAAATTTCGTTTCTAGATAAATACTTTTCAAATAGACGATGAAGTTGCGCTAGAAATATTGCTTGGGAAAAATTAAGTTTTTTGAAAATCAATTTCGTTTGATATTTGGAAAGAATATTTTGCACATAAATACACATAACCTTTGATCTGTACGTTAACAGATCAAGTATTTGTATCGAAAAGCTTTTCAATTCAGATTCCAAACACTCCGTGGGCGCACCGAATACCTGAAGTTTTGCTACACACTACTCCCATTTCCCAGATTTCATTTAACTCAAGTTTGATTGCAACATTGATGTTGAAATTGTGTTAACAACTATCCATGTGCAAATTGAATTTATGAACTTTATCGTTTTTAGTACACGGCTTCTGATGTACAATTAAGTTTTTTTAAATTTCAAACTCTCTAATCCCACCCATAATTTTGCTATCCGTTTCTCATTGTAACTTTTATTATATGTCTCTGTGAATCTAGAATCGGGAACAATTTAAATTATAGACCGCAGATATTTTCACTAACTTTCTATAAGTTCGTGACTATCAGTGGATTCTTAAATAAATGCTGGTTCACGATTCAAATATTACCGCACACCGAGCTTTTATCGATCCTTGTTTGTAAAGTCTTCATAATTATTATGGAAGTTTATCTGAAGATTAATAATAATTTTTGTTTGCGTTTTGAAATTTAAGGCAGAAAATGCTTTCATAAAATATCCGGTATTTCATTTATATAATATTTTAAGTCAGAACAAAATGATGCACTTTGTTTTCTCAAATAATACAAGGTACTTTGGAAGTAACTATACAAAATATAGTTTATGTAAGGTTCTGTTTATTAGCTAAATATGGCCTCTACTTTCTAAGACAATATATTTTCGGTATTTTTATGATTAACGTGGCTTATTAACAATAGGGTTATAATTGAGTAATTTTACATGAAACGCTTGATTTGGAAGTAGTGAATATTTTCGAAGTCTCCTATAAGAACTTTATCAATGTTGACAAATCGCACTACGGTTTTAGTTCAAATAGCAATACAGCCCGTTTTGTGGTCCTCTCATCTTCTCATCAACTCTCATATCTTGACACATGATCTCGCCTTTGTTCTTTATTTATACATATGTATGATACATTTAATTTATACATCAAAATACATTACCGTCTGTGGGTTGCGAATAATTCTCGCTCGACCGCTCCTGGTCATTGTCAAGGTACACGCGTCGTTCCGCGCCGGTTGACATAAATGAATGAATTCACGAATATATTAAACATTACTGTTAAAAATCATTCGTATAGGGTTTTCTTGTTTTACAACATTTAAAATGACTATCAATTTAATATGTTGGTTTTTTCAGTAGTGTAGTTTAAGCTATTTCTATTACGGTATATGCAAATTTTATTTAGATATTTTTTTATATAGTAAAAGTAAAGTTACGTTTATATTTTATAACTGGACATCAAGGTGTGAATTATGATTGCATGCGGTCATACGGTTCTCGGCTTACAGTAATTTTACTACGGTCCGTCAGTCATACTGAGAACATATATTCATATACTGTTAAAGAACGTCCTATAAAATTTTCACTGCATACATAATAACTGTCTCTGGAATTCTATTTCCTAGATAATGTTATAATTATATGAAATAGTTTTTTTAATATGACAGACATCCAAACATTTACAAGACTTAAACTTATATTACTGTTACAAAATTGTTCAAAATTTTTATTCTTTATAATTTTTATGAGCATATTTTTCGTTGTAACATTATTTTCAGTAAGCGTCAATAATGATTCTATGACATTTGATTGAACTATTAAAACCTTAACATACAATTTCATGTGATACATTTTAATGAATATGTTAAATAGGTTAAGAAAACCGGTTTTATATCGGTAGAGGAGACGGTTAATGCATAACACTTAGACTTAAATTACACAGTGTACAACCAGTCGTATGACGCTTTGTGACGCCAGTTTCTTAAATTATGTATGATATACGCGCATTATATATGTATTAAATATTTAATTGACTTCAATTATTAATTATAATATTCTGACCTACATATTCTTTATATATTATAGTAGGTTTTACCCTCGAAATTGCGAATGTGAAATTTATTTATGAATAAATCATAAATTTGTATATGTAAGAAAGTCGTGTCAGTAACACTATATATATGTAGTAAAGAAAGGCTGTATAGATGTGGTTGAAAATTGATTGTAAGCTAGTATAGAATCTGTAGTTGGACATATTATAGTTTGAACCTTTCGATCGAGAAGAAACTTAATGAAATCCAACATCTTCTTATTTACTGCCTCTAAGGATTAGAGTTCATCTGTTCAGCCATGCATTTCTAATACTGAAACTGACGCAAGCCAAGTCACAGGCAAAAATTGATAGGTGTATGATGAATATAAAATGAAATATATTTTTAAATTATAACTATTTAATTATTTTTACATTTGCGGTTTTAAAAGGCAATCAGTTATCGTGTTTAAACGATTTATTTTTAGTTTAAAAAGTTAAATTATCTTTCTAAGAAAATAATTGTAGCTTTTATAATAATCTAACTGTGCTGAAAAATATTCCTTTTAAAATATATGTATAGAACTTCAAATTATTGTCGAAGTTAAAATACTTCAAGAAGTCCGCAAAAATGTTAAACATTTGCGTATAATTTTAGTTTATTATTTTTTTTGTCTATAGAGATTTCTTTAATATAGAGTAAGCAGGCTCAGTAATTTAGTTATTGAGGAATAACGAATTTAAAAACAAACAAGCAAGTTAAAATTTTCAATTAAGAAAATTAAAGATATGAAATAATTTTGACTACCTCTTATTAAGTTATATTAAAGGTCTACAACTTTTATCTTTATGTAACAATTCCTTACAAACTCTCGTATGTAATAACATGCTAATTCTTGTATACATAAATTATACTGTACAGTAGGTACTGAAGTACCGTTTTATCCTCTTTTTTTAATACTGTTAATCAGTTCTAAACGAGTTTATGGTTATATATCGAGTCGAGGGAAAGTGTTGTCATTAAATTGCTAATTTCTTTACCTAAAGCATTGAAATTCCTTATCAGAACGATATTAGCATTTAGGCTTGTTTTTTTTGTTGTAGGAATATATTCATTCCAATTTATAATCCGACACTTCAAATTGATATCAAGTTTATAAAGTATGTTAAGATCAAAACACATTAATTCTTGAGTGGTTAATTACTTTTTTTGTTGTATTTTTTTTTTGTTTCCGTACAGTATTTGATGTTGAAGAACTCGTTACCTTGAAATATTTATCCCATTTAAAATAACTAGATCCATTACAGACGTTTTATTTATATTTTAATAAATGAATTGAAGAGATTTTTATTGGAATACTATTAAATGTTTTATAGAGAATAAAATGTTTTTAAACATGAATTATAATTACAGTATTCTTTAATATATAATGATAAAATGATAACGTTATCAGGGATTATTTAATGGTGATATAAATGAAAACATCTATATATTGATTTATCAACATGATCTCAACGACTGTATTAATTAGTTGACTATTTATGGTAAAACTTCTAAGAACTTTCATAAAGATTTTTTCTAAGAAATAAAAAGGAAAACGTCGTAAAAACTTTGCAGATTTTATCAATTTTTCTGGAGCAGGAAATAAATCGTCTCTCAAACCTATCTATAGTAAAGAAATACTAAAGTAATGAAGCTGCTGTTGATAGCAATGATGGATTTTTTTTGGATTCATAGAGTTACAGTTGAGATTTTTTTAAGGTGTATCCATTGAAAAAATATAGTAATTAGTTAAACCGGAAACATCAAATAAAACTAGAATCACATTTTGTATGAATAATTCCAAGCAAAAGTTTTTGTTCTATGTAATTATTTTAATATTTTGCTTTTGGAATAACACAAAAAATAAATAATTTATCACAAAAAAATAAAGAGGTAGTTATTCAAAAGCGGCGATTTATGTCCCAATGATTATTAAAATGATATCCAGAAAATTATCCTGACCGTGAAAATTTAATGATTATGAAATATAATTAAAACCAGCCATTAATGATAACTCTATCTTAAGACATCATTACCGTCACGTTGAATGGTTTGCATTTGACAGCAGTTGACCTAACCTACATACATCGGAGTCCAGAGCTCGATACAAGCAGAAGTAACCGGGTCGCAATTATATGAACATTTCTATAAAACGGGGCAATTTCTTATCTAAATTTAATTAGTGTTCATTAAAATAAACTTTATTTATCTTGCTACGATTAATAATCTTCGCCTCCGCCGTCGTCTCGAATGTTCACGACCTGATAATTTAATTCGTTTTGAAACAGAAATTATATCAATGTAGATTTAAATGAAAATTATGTTTTAATTCTTACATCATTAATGTTTAATGAAATTTATGTAATACCCAATTGAATAGGTACTTTTCTTTAGGGGCGAAAATATCATTTAAATTTTGTTATAGACTTTGAACGATATTTTTCTTTATATACATATTATTACCGAAATCATTGAGGAATGAAAATTCAGAAATATAGCATCTTGTTTGTCAGATTAACTAGTAATTTTTGTTACGTCTTATATAACATCATCATCTTTTATTGTCCCCAGCTTCTCCCAAAAGGTGGATGAAGAAGAAGGCGGTGGCGGTGTCCCGTTACATCCACCAGACGGATTCTACTCCCACCAGCATAGTATACATAGCGGACATCATGGACACCACGTGGAGCCAGACCGAGGTTATATGGAGGGGAACAGATATGTTACGGCTGTTCATCGACCGATGCCAGGTCAGCAATTAGAACAAGATAGAATTAAAATATAATAAATCGATATCAGTAAGTGGTGGCCTAGTAGTTAAAGGGCCTTCCTCTCGTACACGACCCGCGGGTTCGAATCATATGTATGTACTTTCTAAGAGTATTTTCTATTTAGACACCACTGACAGACGGTGAAGGAAAACTTCGTGAAGAAACCTGGACTAATTTCACATTTATAAGTTTGAAATCCCCAACCCATCTTGAGCAAGCGTGGTGATTTATGCTAAAACCTTCTCAATGTGAGAGAGAGGCCTTTGCTCAGCAGTGGGCTCTGATAGGCTGATATTATATGAAATACTATGAAACTAATAGAACTAATGTTATAAACGTAATGATCTTCATTCCATACTAACAGATATAATGATATCGAACATTTTAACATTTATTTTAATTTTTTTTTAATACTGCGTGTGTTTCATCTCAGTGTTAAATATTTTTATCTCGTCTGCCCGTAATCACGGTTGCTGTAAAGAAACCATAACGTTTGGATTTTGTAGATACAAAATAATAGAAAAAAAAAACGAATTGTATCGGAGAAACTTATTTTAATTTAAATTAATTTAATGAATTAGTTTTGAATGGGAACAATTTTAATATAAAGCAAATTATTATCATTATCTCGAGTCTTCATTGTCAAATACTGACAAAATTTTGGATTTGTTATTAATGCATTATAGACCAAGAAAGTATTAATGTATATATAAATACTGTAATCAATTGGTATTAAGTTAGACTTTGAAACCAATTACTATTTTAAATATTTTGTCACATAAAATTTAACCGTGATCGCAATTTTCTTTGTGTGAATTTTTCGGCAGAACTCATCTAAAATTTTATTTACGTCTTTATTTCATACGAATATTATTCAAAATACTCTCATTGTGTATTTTAAATATATGCTCAAATATTACAATAATTATATGTGTATTATTAAACAAAGACGAGGACTTACGTCATGTTAAGTCAACCGTTTCCAAATAAAGAGTGATCGATACGACTCAAATCATCTTGAGTGAGTCAGTTACTGTACGAATAACAAAGGATTATAACACACTATATATAAATATTCAACAATTATTAAAATTAACATGTATTTCTGCAAAATTACTCTAATATTTTTGCATTTATTTGCAAATTTTAATATTCTAATGACGTGTTACGACATCTAAAATTACAACCTAACGTCTGTTACACTGGTAACTAGTGCAATATAATTTTGTTATCAACTTTAAGTTGATCTAAGTGATTAAGAGAATTGCGAAATTCTGTATACATTTGAGTTACACTTGAAACATCTGCATTAAATTAAGGGGTAAAGTATGAGAGTAAGCTCTCATTATACGCTAAAACTCCTAAAGCGTTCGTACATATACAATTTCAGCAAACATAGGATTAATAACGCTAAAATGCAATTTAAAGTACCGTATCATATCCTGATTTCAAATGTAAAAGTTACTTCGTTATTTGTCAGTCAAAAGCATTCGAAACTCTTTGGGCAATTAAAATTCAAAGACTTTATCAGAAGTCTATATAAATTACACTGCAAAAAGTCTAAAGAAAAATAATAAACAAGAAAGTAAATTTTCACTTTCACATTCTTAGTAATATTAAAAAAAAAACCATTATTTGTATGTGTATATGACATTTATAGACAAAAGTAATTACGCATGAATTATGATCGTAATATCGGTTACAAATTAAATGGAGAGTCATTTGAAAACAAAGAATTTTTCTACTTTAGTTACATAGGAGTAACTCAATAGTCCAAATTAATTGGTTGACCTATAAAAATGGTTGGTTCTTAAATACACACACATATATAAAAACGTAAAGCTAATTAACATCTGTAACGAATTTCCAGCTCTAAACCACTCGAACTCGTCATGCTCTTCAGCATCGAACGCATCAGGCGCCGGGCTGTGCGCGGGAACCGAACCCACACCTCCGCTGTACATCGCCGCGCCGCCAGAGGGTTTCGGGCACGCTGTGCATACAAACAGGTAATGTATTGCATACACAGTGAAGTTATCTTTAATAAAGTGCAAGGACATAAATCGTACTACATCATCGTAGTAATGATAGTGAGTGTTTAGCGATAGTTATAAAAAACATCGTGGTAGTAAGGTCAAAAGTATTTTCGTATATGTACATATATATTGCATATAAAAAAAACTAGTGGTTATAAATGTTATTTAAATGTATCTCAATTCTCAAACTCCTCGTTACTATATCGAAGTGGATTTATCGTAATTTACATATAGTCTAATAAACTTAATTGAAAATATGTTGGTTAAAACAAAACAATAACAACTGAACAAGGAAACGTTCAGTTTATATATCTCAGTGCTAATGGCTATTGCGATAGAACGTCTTAAGATAATGTTATATTTATTGCCACATAATATTATGTAATAAGCAATTTATTTATAGTCGTATGCTTAGATATTAATGACTTTATTATACATATAAAGGGTTTCAATAACATATCATACGATATTTATTTTGGAAGGATTGAAAAATAAATCAAGACTAAATAAAATTAATTTGTATTTTATACAGTTATATCTTAATGAAATGTCTATTTCACTTAAATACTAAATAATTTCATATAATCCAATTTGTTAAAAAAAATTATATTACTTCAAATTTAATCGTAAGTGACAAATAAACTTAATATATGACAATTCTATGTGTGGAATAATAATCATAATAACAATCACTTCTCGGAAAAATCATTTGTAAGAATAGAAAACATAAAATATATATTGCATTGAATTATATAACATAATGTATTTGCTTCAATATTCTTGTACATATATAACATCACTCTGTATGGTGCTCTTAATTGGTATCTGGTATTAATATACATATATAGATATATATCTAGCTAGTTTTTATGTATGAAATGTTCCATAGGCGAGGCACAGACGTGGGAATCATTGGCACAACTGGAATAACACAAAAAGATCCAACATTACCCCAAAAAAGGGGTAAACTGACACGAGGGTATGTCCCTTACCTCAGGAATGTAACCTAAAAGTCCTTAAATCCTTCTAATAACTTCAATTTCACTCATACTGCAAATCGATGCTAGTATATAGTGGACACGACATAACTCACTTATCTACCTTATCTCATAGCCTCACTTACTAGATGACCATATACAGCATGATCAAAACATGACCTTACCATGTATTACCAGGAGTCTCTTGTTCGATAATTAACTTACATATAATCATAATTATTAACTATCAACTATTGTCTAAGGTTTTTTATAACATCTTATCTAACAAACTATAAAAAATATCATTATTTCTTCAGCTCTATCATATATACAGCATGATGTCGTTCAGTTAGATAACTCTGTCCGTTGATTTATAACTTTCTTGAACGAATCTGCTTTTTATATATTGTAATGCATCAACCAAGTATTGATTCTAATGTGTGCCAAACAAAATTAATAAAAACATATTAAAACCATGTAACAGCTTCATATGAAGTTTAACCTTTGATTTGATGGCTTATTTTCTGATTTTCAGTCGATATGAAATGTCCCAAGATCTACTTGACAAGCAAGTTGAGATATTAGAAAGACGTTACGGCGGTCTCAGAGCTAGAAGAGCAGCCGTCACTATACAAAGAGCATTTAGAAGAAGACAGTTATTGAAGAAATTCAGCGCCATCACAGCTATGGCTAAAGCAGCTGATTCTAACGCCAGGAGAATGCAAGATGGTGACCATTTACTGGTCAACGGTAAGCATTCATACATTTTTAATTACTAAATTTTATTAGGACGCAATAGCTTAGTTGATGAAGTACCTGTAATATTACACCCCAAATATTACTGGTTCGAATCGTGCTTTGTTCATTTTCTATTACAATTGTAACATTTCATATATGATAGTATGATTTTGAATTTTTGCAAGTATGACTTGATATGATTCATCACTTATTGTTTTAATCTGATTTGATTAATATAATTGTGTAGTGACTCAGCTCTTATTATCAACACATGTGTAAATAAACATTAAAATTAATCTAGAAGACCATTCTTTCGCACAATAATATAGATATTACAGAATATTTAATTTTTTTGTTACACAGTAAAATGTATTATTATCATATAACTCTGCTTCATATTAAATTTAACAAAAAACAATTTCATTTAATTAACAAACAATTAAAATACTTAAAATAAATAATTATTGTTTAAAATCAGTTTGTACAGAAATAGTTAGCAACAGGAATTTTGAAGTAGGTTTAACTTGTATCTCAAAATACCTGCTTCTCCTCCTGGATATACATATATCGAAACATACAATTATAAATTAACAAGTATTTAACTTATTTTGATATATCTTAAATATGTATTATGGTTTTTTTAATACATTTTATCTATTAATAAAATAACTTAGTACTTAGTATTAGTCCGAAAAATAATCTAATGGAAAATAACTATGGTGACGCATAGAGTAATATGCAATGTCATGTAAAAAAATAATTATTATTTATCACCATCAATTTGTCTAATATACCTTGCTTGATCCTTGACCTTATTTACTTCACTGACAATGTATTGCATTTAATTTATGTTAATATAATCTCATAGATTTTTATTACTTATAAAATTCTTAAAACTGACTACAAATTTATGACTTTTCTATAATTTTTTAGCTTATATTTTATATTATAATTTTTTTTTTATTAAACCATACTTGGAACTCTCAGAGCACATTAAGTTGTGAATGGTTTGATTGTAAAAATGTTAAATATATAAGAAAATAAATCTTTAAACTAATTATTAATATGGAATAACATTATAGTACATACAGTGAAAAAAACACAATGTAACTGATACTATTTATTATTAACATATGGTTAACATTTAACATTTCAGGTAACGATATCTACGCGAACGCTCACACACAGAAAAGTCCAGCCTCCGATAAGGTTTTGGCCTTAACGAGACCCGTCAGATCAATGTCGCTGAGAGAAAGACACGACATCGACCTAAAGTTAGTTTTATATATATACAAAACAAACATTCAAATCAAATAGTCTTACTATAATGTATAGTATGTCTAAAACTTTAATTTACTTAAAAAACTTTAATACAAATAAAAAGACATCTTTTATTATTAATAAAATATTTTATTATTATAATCTATTTCATTATATTTATAAAACTTGTATCAAATCAATTTACTTACATAAAATTAATCTCTCAAATTTAAATTGAAGTGATGTAAAATTGTTATTTATTTTTGATATTTTTTATTATTGATAAAATATTTTGTCATAAAATTCTATTTCATTATATTTATACATTCCTTCCTCTTCCCAAAAGAGGGTTGATGTCAGGCAAGCGGCCGGTCGTAAAAATAAATAGCCAAAAAATATTTACAACATGTAAGGCAGACCTTTTCTATAGCTGGGAAATTGCCAGGTAGAAGAAGATACGAAATCACTTAATGAAGTATATTTAATTGTTATTAATTTTTTCCAGCAACCACATGCCGTGTGACCCTCAGAATGAGGTTGAAGTAATGATGGCGAGGGTCCAGCAATCAGCTCATCAGATACACATGATAGCATCTGAAATACCAACCATGCATAGAGATGCTGACAGTGGGGTGAGTGACCTCTTAATTGATTTACATTGTATAAGACTAGCTTATACATTCAGAAACATATTCTGTATACAGCGTACTTTGAGAATATATGATTGTGTAACGCTTCTATTTTTTTATATACTGAGAAACTATTATAACTTCTAATTAATTAATTATTTTGAGATACATTAGCCTATACATAAAACTTTAGCACCCATTTACGCTTGAAGTGCCCACAAGAGGGCCTTCTGACCCACTATGGGAAAGTCTGCTGTAGAGTTTTGGGCTTAAAGAATAGTTATTTACAAATAAAGTATATACAATTTAATATTAAAAACACGTCAATAGATGGTCTATAAAGTAACTATGAATGAAGAAATATTGAATTATATAAATTAATTTTAATAGCTATAATATATATCTACTTTATCATTTTTATATCACGTATTTTTATTATATGTTGTATGCCATCTTTTAGGTATTTAAAGCTGACATCTAATAGATAACCTAATTATAATGGCAGCGCCATCTAGTGATAACAAAGTGACACTTATTTACTGCTCCTATAGGAAGTGTACTATTGTATGTATATTATATAATTACAGTTTTGCAATAATAATTAAAAAACGCAAAACTACTATTCAAATATCTTAAAAAGTCCATATGATACTGAAATACACTTCCGCATATTTATTTAGAAGTCGAGTATAAATAGATAATTTCTAACAGGAACTGGTGTTAAGAATAAAACATCACAAAAGAATATTATTTTTATAACAAAACCAAATATTTGTATACGCAGTTATCACTTTGTGTTTATTTGCGCATTTAGCGAAAATGATCCGTGTTTTATGAACATAAGGCTTAAAATCCCATGATTAGATTAATATGATGTCAACGCTGTATAAAATGTTTATCAGTAGTCCCAGTGACGTTGTGGACGCGTAACGTATTTTTTAACTAAAACAAATGGATTATAAAACTAAAAAACTCTTGAAAAAACTATTAGTTAATAATAATTTTATTTTCATACATAGAGTTAGTAAAATTAAATTGTGGCGTGGTACAAGAATGAAGTATGATGTAGGTAATGTTTTATTTTATAACATACTAGATATTACCTGATTTTTTGCCCGTTTATAGAACAGATGTTTTTGTGTGTCTTTTCATTTATATTTAAAAATCTTATACAGTACCATCAAAATCTCATAAATTCAAGGTTTTTTTTCTTATAAATAAGTAATTATCTAAATAATTACAGTTTTTTATAATTTTTAATTGTAATATGACACTTAAAAACTCATAATTATATTTGTTGTCTTATAACAGCATATTTTAGTTAATGTGCTGTTAATTAATGATTTCATTATTATAATGAAACTTTCATTAAAAACCTTTTAGTCTTTTTAAGACTTTTGATCATAAAAGTAGAAAAAATTGTAAAATGAAAGATTAGGAATGTATATAGAAAAAAATATATCTTAAATTGATATTTTACACAAATCAACAGTCTGTGTATCGAACAAATATTTAAAGGGTCCAATTCTCTATAAAATGGTATATACAGGGTGACTGGTGAATTACTATCAATATTTAAGGAGAATACTCGGTACATGATTCTCATTCGAATTATGTAAAAAAAAGAGGTACTTAATTTTTGACCAAATTTCCGTATAAATAAATAAAGTGTGTACACGTTCCAAGTGTTCCAAGTGTGGACGCGTGCGGCGGCGTGCTGATACAACAACACGCCGTCGCGCGTGAGTGTGAGTGTGTGTGTATACCTAATCTGTAGGGTGTTCATACGATGTGTAATTAATTACATAACTTTTGGTTAACTTTACTTAGAAGTTTATTAATATTTATGTTATATTAATTTTTATTTTGCCATATATGATCGTCAAATATCACGTCCTCAAATATCGATAGTAATTCACCAGTCACCCTGTATATACACGACTACATATATGTATATATAAATAAATTTATTTCTAATATTTCAGGTTTGCAGTTGTTCTGTGAGCGGTTCTGTCACCAATATATCTACTTCATCATCACACAATGATTCTCTTCATAATCATCAGCTGTTAAATAATACAGGTACATACAGTTCTCAGGCTTTTATATATTAATTGCTATTAATATATTATACGATTTTCGATAAATAGGTAAATAATTATAATTTTAAATTCTATATTGCGAAGGCTTTATCAGATTGTCTTTGAAAATAGTTAAAGCAAATTGCAAAGTAATTGCAATGTTTGATTTTAAATTCATTTGCTAACATATATTAAATAATTAATTCAAAATATACAGTTCCTGACCTATAACAATAAATTAAGACACAATTTTTTGTATTGCTCTATAAAAACATTATCAAACTTTAAAATATTTTATCAATGTAAAACGAACCTTAAACTATTCAATTCAAGGCCCAGTTTACGGTAACTTGTTATCGTCGGGCGGTAAACCACTGTCTTCCCCGACCGCTCGGCAGCAGCAGCAACTAGCAGCAATACAAGCAGCTAACGCCAGGCGACACCCGCCTGAAGTGCCGAAACGTACTAGCAGCATTACACTCAAGTATGTATACAGAAAATTATTAATGAAGATTTTTTCAATCAAATTTGATTCCTAAAACTAAGTTATTAAAGTTGAGTTTAGATTGCTGAGTGACACATGATAAACCGATAATATATTAGAAAAATTTTGCCTGAAAGATTATTGTTTGGGGGGTAGAGACATAATATGAACGATCACCTCTCTACCATGTTATCCAAATCGTCGTTCGTCGTTAAAATATCGTTAATTTCTTCATATATTTGCGTTACAGTGCTGAGAGTCCGGTATCTCTTCGTCGTGCTGAGTGCGGGGGCGCGGTGGTACGTGGTGGGTCGATGTCTTCCGTACAATCGTCATCATCTTCTTCGTCGCAGGAACATCGTCACCACTACCACCAGCCTTACCAGCCGAGAGCACCGGTGAGTATAAAACTTATAATTGATTTGATGTGCTAAGAAGATTACTAGCTATTTGTTCGAAATAGCAGATTAAAAGTGAATTAATACATTTCTATATTGGTGCTGAACTAATATCACTTTTTCTTACACTTTCACATCTCTTAATCCAATATATCCAAATAAAAATAATGATATTTCTTAAACAACAAGCCTAATATACCAATAGGATTTTATTCAGGCAAATTATAAAAAAATAAATAAATATTATTCCAGGAGCCACATATGCATATTCAGGAGCAACAGTTTCAACACGCTCGTACAGCATCCGGGACGTTGTATGAGGGAGAGAGATATGCTGTGTGGAAGAGACAGGAGGCTCCTCCGTACTATGAGGCGCCCCCACCCGCTACATGCTGCAGGCCACAACACGATCACCATCAACACACACACCAACAACCGTTGAAGGTTAGAAAGGGGGATATTAAATGTGTGTGTGTGTGTGTGTGTGTGTGTGTGTGTAAACTGTATAGTGTATGTGTGTGTGAATGTATGTGTGTGGATGTGTACGTCTGTAGAAACGGGGGTTAGAACCATTATCTGAATTTCGGAAGTGTTACATAGTTTAAGAGTTTTTAATTGAGGATTATGACATTTGATTTATACTAGCTCCGAGTATATGAGTACGTCTGTTTTAGTATAGGGAAGATGGGAGCTAAAATATATAATTATGTATATAGAATATTTCTCTACATTAATAAAATAGAATGAACTGAATTCAGAATCACTGTATAAATACTTCAATTATCATAACAATAATATTCCGTAGGTATCAGAAACGGTTCGTAAGCGTCAGTACCGAGTGGGTTTGAATTTGTTCAATAAGAAGCCGGAGCGTGGTATCGCTTACCTCATATCTCGCGGGTTCTTAGAGAACTCCCCACGAGGCGTCGCACGATTTCTCATCACCAGGAAAGGACTTAGCAAACAGATGATCGGTGAATACCTCGGGAACCTTCAGAGTCAATTTAATATGGCTGTGTTAGAGTAAGTGTAAAATTCTAAATAAATGTCTTACAATATATAAAAATCTTTAAAAGTATTCATATGAAAGATATGTCTATATAAATAATGATCAATATAATTTACATTCATAAAATAAACAAAATATTTTTTTTGTATCTGTGTTAGGCGTACTTAATTTATTTAAAGTTTTTTCCTTCAACATATTTCATATACTACAAACCGTGCAATATATAGAATTAATTTTAACTAAAATAAAATTCCAATGATAATATTCCAAGTTAAATGTAATTATGATATTATTCCAGGTGTTTTGTTACCGAATTGGATTTATCTGGTATGGCGGTAGATGTTGCTTTGAGGAGATACCAGGCTCATTTCCGCCTCCCTGGGGAAGCTCAGAAGATAGAACGACTGGTAGAAGCCTTCGCTAGAAGATACTGTGTGTGCAACCCGGACTTTGTTCAACGATTGAGAACACAGGATACGGTTAGTGAATTAATCTTTAGGACAATATTTAGTTTAAATAGTTTTTTGACTAAACTTTAACGGAATGGATTTTTAATGGAGGTCAAAAGTAAATTAATATGTAGTTTGTACTTAAATTAAAATTTACATAGTTAAACAGAGCTCCATCTACCGTCTTTCCACCGAACTTAATACAAAATAGTGTTATGTCCTGATCAAAAAAAGTATACGAATTTTCCGGAAAATTTTAACTCATCTATTATCGTAATAGCCACATTATAAAGAAATTTCATTCAAATTTAAAAAAATGGCGCTTGTTATTAAAATCATTGTTATAAAGCATTGCGTGCTTCATAATAACAAATTGAATTTTATAGGTACATTGTCATAAATACCTGTGTTAGAACGCAGAAATTGAAGCTGAAAAAAGTTTTTAACAATGTATTATTATGAATCTTATTTTGTTAGTTGTTACTTAATTTTATATGTTAGTACACATTAAGTAAATGTAAGCACACATTCACACGAATTGAACATTAATTTGTGTTATTCCTTCACATTAAAGTCCCTTTGTAGACATTTAAATTCAATCACATATTTTACAAATATATCTATATCTTAATAAAAATTTTAATATCTTCTCAGATTTTCGTGCTAGCGTTTGCCATAATAATGCTGAACACGGATCTACACACACCGAATCTAAAACCAGAAGCTCGTATGTCGCTGGACGACTTTGTAAGGAATCTGCGAGGTATAGACGACTGTGGAGATATAGATCGAGATATGCTGGCCGGGATATACGATCGGGTGAAGGCCAGCGAATTTAGACCCGGCAGTGATCACGTCACACAGGTTATATGGGTTATTTTGATGTTTAATAGGTTATATGGGTTACTTTTATGTTTAATGGGTTATATGGGTCATAGATATATATCAAAGCTTGTAAACATATTTTATGCTGAATGTACATAAATACTTGCAACGAATTTTAGATGAATATATTTACACAATTATAAAGGAATTCAGTTCATTATGATCTTATTTAAAGCTGATTTCTTTGGGTTTAAAATGGAGTATTCTAACATTTTATTAACATATAAATATTTTTAGGTAATGAAAGTACAAGCTACTATAGTGGGTAAAAAGCCCCACTTGGCTTTACCTCACCGTCGTTTGGTTTGCTACTGTCGTTTGTATGAAATACCAGACATACATAAGAAGGAACGGCCGGGTGTACACCAGAGAGAGGTATATAAAAAAAAGCACTAATAATATACAGAAAGGATATTGCTTAGTAAATATAAGAATATATATCATTTGTTAAAATTAAACGTCACTTCTAAATATTAATAGCTCTGTGATGGAATAAAGTTAGTGGTCAGATAATTGTATATGATTTCACAATTCAATGATTATTTGAAGAGAAAAGTTAATTACAATATGGACATTTTAGTAAAATACAAAATTTGGAGTATTTTTGTTGTAGTCAATATATAAAGGAATTTATTTATTAATATATTATTATTTTAATGTATAATAACTCAATTATATTTTGTCAAGGTGTTCCTGTTCAACGATCTTTTAGTCATAACTAAGATCTTCAGTAAGAAGAAGTCTTCCGTGACCTACACGTTCCGTCAGTCCTTCCCTCTCTGTGGGATGATCGTCAATCTGTTCTCTGTGCCGCGTGAGTTATGTCATCATATTATTTATATTATACCCATCCAAATTTTATTCTTATACGAATAAACTAAAGAAACATTCATAAAATATCTAATAATGAATTTATTCATCAAAATTCATAAATTGTCTATTTACGAGTCTATACATCAAATTTTATCCCCGTGAATTATCCAATCATGATTTAATAACTCAATTACCTCCATAAATTGTCTATTTACGAGTTTACCCATCAAAGTTTACCTCCATAAATTATTCATTTATGAACTTATCCATCAAACTACCTCCATAAACGATCTAATCATGAATTTTTCCACCAGACTATCCATTCGGTATCCGTCTCTCCCGTCGTGTGGACGGCCGTCGACTCGCAACCTTCAACGCCAGGAACGAACACGATAGATGCAAGTTCGCTGAAGATTTGAGAGAGAGTGTAGCGGAGATGGATGAGATGGAGGCGATGAGGATCGAGGGGGAACTGAACAGGGGCAAAGGAAGGGGGACGGGGAACACCGGGAGGAATGGTATATAAAATAAATAATATATTATATAATGATTTGTTATCTATTAGTTATATAAATGATTTTAATAAGTAGTCATTTATATTGTACTAAGATTTTCGGATATTACGCGTTAATTTTGATGACGCGTTATGAGAAAATAAATTACTTTAAACCGAATTATTTTATCCACTGGATACACGCGATGTTTTGGTTACTTTGCAGCAACCGTGATCACGAAGGACAGATGAATGTGTCTGTTATTTATCAATGAATATATGTATTTTAATGTGGTTGTATAAAATAATAAAACACAACACAATTCATAATCCCTATACACATTAGAACGTCAACAGAGAATTTAAATGATTTTCATACAGTTATATTATTATATATTAATTGTTATTTTGTTATTCAGTGATGGAGAATCGTGACAGCGGTGTGGCCGATGTGGAAATAGATCACCAACAGTGTATGGAGCACGTTCACGTACACGGGTAACTTGTTAAAACTTTAATATTAATAATTATATATATGCTTCTTAAATATATATACGATAATTTACAAAAAAAAAAACTTACATAACTTCAACCATAATAAATTCAAAGACATAATAAATTTAACAACATCAAAACTTGTTAGTATTGATAATAACATCAAAAATGACATTTAAATGTGTGAATATCAAATCAAAACATAAAAATATGTACCATATGATTTTAATCAAGTTTTTATTCATAGTATGTTACTTTATAGACTATACATTATGTTAATATATTAATCTATCATAATTATGTTCCAGCGTGGTGGTGCCCCCTCCCCCCTCTTGTCCCGCGCCCGCCGCCCCCTCCCGCCTCTCACAGAACCCCCCACCCACAAACATAATCAAGAGAAACGTTCTCAGCAACTCACTAGTCGATATCAACGATCCAGGTAATATAAATAAATATTTTAATATAAATAAAATTCACATTATTCAATATTCCTATACTTATATTTTCGATTTCAGTTATATATTAAATTTTCTTTTTGAATTATAATATGCTATACAATAATCATATATACGTTATTACACTTCAAATGATTTAAATCTATTGTGAGTGATTCAAATGTCTTCAAGAATAATAATTCATTGATAAGTGATATACAAAAATATTTCTATTATATTCAATATTGAATTGTTAAGTATCAAATATTACAATTACACTATATATGAATACGTTTATGATCTAAATCTTACAATAACGTGTGATCCCTGTATAGTATCAACACAATTACAATAATATGAGTATGTTCATGTCTTAAATCTCCTAAACTATTTTTTGTGACCCCCTGTATAGTGGCGCTGGCAGCTGAGCGTCTACAACGTCGCGGCTCCGTGGGGTCTTTGGACAGTGGTATGTCGGTCTCATTCCAACACGGGAGTAGAACCGCTCTCGCTACCTCGCCACGACATCCGCCGGACCAACGATCGCCGGGTTAGTAATTATATATATATATATATATTGTGTGTGAGTGTGTGCATGTGTGAGTGTAATTGATCAACCTATATATATGTTCACTGTTTAATCAAAAACTGTTCGCGTGCTTTTACACAGAAGTAAAGTTGATCCCTACTAATATTATAAATGCGACAGTAACTCTGTATGTCTGTCTGTTACGCTTTCACGCCTAAACCAATGAACTGATTTTAATGAAATTTGGTACAAAGATAGAGTTGACCTTGAGAAAGAACATAGAATAGTTTTTATCCCAGACTTTTGAAAGGTTCTCTTGGAAACGCGATATAACCGAACTCGACGCGGGCGAAGCTGCGGGCGGAAAGCTAGTAAATTTATATATGGGATAATGAATTTAAGTTTTGATTTATAATCTATATAATAAACGCTTTCGACTATACATGTAGATGTAACCTGTATGTATGCAAAGTTAATATTACTTCTAATCTCATTCTCTCTGTTTATTTCGTGTAATCTCAAAAATCATTGAACTAATTTTAATGGAATTATAATTAGCAGATGGCTCATGCAGTAAAGAATAACTTAGGTTACTTTTTAACCAACTTCATAAAGGTATAAGTTCTAGAGACTAGCTGCAACAAATAGAAAGAAAAAATAATAAAGAATTGCTGTTTGATGTAGTTTTCGAAAGCCTTAATTTGTTATGATGACAAAGAGACACTTGAATGTTGTTTATTGTTAGTTATTCCCTTACCTAAAAAATCAAATCCCTCCCGCTTTTCCGATTACCGTCCTATTTCCATACTTCCTTTCCTATCTAAAGTATTTGAACGTATTGTGCATCGACAACTAAACCTTTTCCTATCTAGACAAAACCTCCTTAACCCTTTTCAATCTGGTTTCCGAATAGGTCATAGTACGACTACTGCTTTAGTGAAAATTACCGAGGATATACGCCTTGCTATGGATAATCAATGTCTAACAGCGTTGATCTTACTAGATTTCAGCAATGCCTTTAATAATGTTGACCACGAGCTCTTACTAGCTACATTATGCTCTCTTAACATATCTCCTGCAGTGATTGACTGGTTTCAAAATTATCTTTGCGGTCGCCGGCAACGAATTCGTGTTGATGATTCCTTTTCCAATTGGTGCACGATCAAGGCCGGTGTGCCGCAAGGTGGCGTGTTGTCTCCTCTCCTTTTTTCTATTTTCATTAATCGCATTACTTCTCAATTATCTTCTCTCTATCACCTGTATGCCGACGATCTCCAATTATATAAACATTCTAAATTAATCGATTTGCCTAGTACAATTCAAACATTAAATAAAGACCTAAAATCAATTGTACTTTGGAGTAAATCCCATGGACTTAAAGTTAATCCTTTGAAAACACAAGCAATTATAATCGGCAGTCAAAAACTAGTTTCCCGCATCGATTGTCCCCATTTGCCTGGTATAATTGTTGATGGAACACTTGTTCCATACAGTGAAACTGTAAAAAATCTAGGTGTTATTTTTGATAGATTTCTGACCTGGACCCCCCAAGTAAGCGAGGTGAGCAGGAAGGTGTTTGCATCTATCGGGTCTCTTCGCAGATTGCGAAATTTTCTACCGTTACCAACTAAAATTGTGCTTGCACAATCTCTCCTGCTACCGATTCTCGATTATGCTGATACCTGTTATCTCAATTTAAGTGAGGAATTGCTTAATAAACTTGAGCGCATCCAGAATCTTTGTATACGGTTCATATTTGGACTTCGTAAATATGACCATGTTTCAGAATTTCGCGAAAAACTCAAGTGGCCCTCAATCCGCCTTCGCAGGAATACTCACATTCTTTCCCTATTATACAATATCCTATTTAATCCTACCTCTCCCTCATACCTTAAAAAGCGCTTTGAATTCCTGAGTGATTCTCATTGTCGCTCTCTTCGGTCTGAAGATAAGTTGATTTTAAAAATCCCCTCCCATAATACATCCTTCTATTCTAAATCCTTTTCTGTGGAAGCTGTACGGCTATAGAATTCCTTACCACTTTCCATACGGCGTGCTCAATCCCTAGCAATATTCAAACGCCTTTTAAAAGCAAACTTCTTCCCCCCTTAAATCTTGTCTACCTGTTTCCTTAATATTTATGATTTTTATTTTTCTATTTATTCTAAACTCCTACTCTGCAATGAATCTGGCTTGTATTTTTTAAATTTATTATAAATATATGTGTATGTATATGTATGTATGTATAAATTATATATATAGATTATTGTATATTGAATGTAGTATATATATGTTTTATTATATATATGTGTATAGTTTCGTATATGTATATTTTTCTCTCACATACATATGTACACCTCTAATGTTTTATTCGGTTTACCGTGTCCTACGTAACATGGTTGCCTGGCAGAGATCGCTGCTTAGCGATAAGGCCGCCAATTGTACATTTTGATTAAGTTTTGTACTGTTTAATTTATTTATTCTTTGGTGTACAATAAAGAATACTTACTTATTCTGTTGATAATTTTCTGTGTTAGTTCATAAAAGTGCTTAAGGTTTAGTCTTATAGAAGATTTTAATATATTATTATGTATTTTTTTCATCGTTTTTAAATTAATTGTATTTTTCTTATATTCTAGGTCGTCTGTTCAGCGGTATTTTCCCCGGTCGACAACGCAAGCTGAGCGCTTCGGGTGTACCAGACACTAAGAGCCAAATCGCCAAAAGCACTGAGGTCTAAACATTGACGGAATCGATTTTAATATCGATATTATTATAATCGAGTCGCTCGGTTTTGAAATAACTGTTCGGCTTCGCTTCTTCCTACAGTCGGTTAGGGATTCGATTATCTGATTTTTTTTTATGTACTCAGATAAACCTTTTTATATTTGCCAGTTCTAAATGTTTTCTAAGTGCCATCTTACTTAATTTCCAAACCCTGTATCGATTTATTGTCTAGTTGAAAGTTTATTTATAATTCACATATGTAGATGTTATTATTTTGGCACAAATTTCAGGATAGTGTCAGGGTAGGCTGATAGTCGTGCCAAGAGCGAGAATTAATATTCCCTTAAAATTAGTCGTTCAAAGTTTCTCTCGTAATATATATGGAATGTTTTGACAACGAACACGTTGGCGGTTAACTGACGGTTAACGACGGTTAAACGGACAGTTAGATTTACATTGTTGACAAAAAAAAAGTTTTAAAATTAGTAGTTTTGCATGTTACCAGCCTCAAAGTATTATACTTTATGAATCTTTTTTTTAGAATAGTTGTAAATACGTTCGATCTAGACGCAATAGGTTGTTGGAGACACAGTATTTTTGAATTCCATTCGGCACTTATATGTAATGCATTAAATTATGAAAAAAAAAATTATATACGAATTTATTCATATTAAAATGTTATATGAATTCTCGAATAGATGTTCGTTTGTTTGTAATCTTTAGGGGTATATAGAACCTGATGACGTCACTACTGTCCATAGACCTAATACCAAATAGAGATCTTGTCCATATTATATAACAGAATATATTATATATTGTCCTATCTATACATTTCTTTGTCTGTAACGTCTCGTATTTGACAATAAGCGTCCTATATATAATATTTTTCAAATTTGAATTGCGATATTATAATATTTAATACTTCATTTAGCTTTGTTACTTTTCTAACGATTTCAATCGCTTTGATGTGAGAGAATGGTTGTCTATTCCCAAGTTTTGACTAACATTAATCTATCGCCTAAGTTACCAAGAACTTTGATATTACCAATTTACCTAAAAATGTATACGTATTACCCTATTTATCCGTATAGGTACGTATTGCCCTTAACTCGTAACATCTACGGTTTTTTTACATCTATATTTTATTTTACATGAAAGCAATTGTCCCTTACAAATTCATAGAAAATTATTTACGGTATTTGGTATATATATAAATATTGTAATATTTGAAGAGGGGTGGGGGTAACAAAGAATTTGAATACCTAAATGGTCTGATTAGAGAGAATGACCAATATTTGTATTATCACTTTTAACGTTTTCTAAATTGGTTATAATATTAAGGCGGGATTTTGAGCATTAAAAACCACCATTAGATCTAAAGAGATATAATATTTCAGTTATATTTCTGTCTCTTTCATTTTTATTACAAAAGATAGAGCTGGATTGTAATGCTCCTAACTCGCCTAGCGTTTTAATGTTGACGATTACGTAGTCTTGTTGTTTCTACTGTTTGTATGTGGGTAGATAGACAAATAATTGACTTGTTAACATGGATTTTGGACTTAATTAGAATGGGGGGTAAAGGTGATTTTTGCATGTACGGTTCTATAAGTAAGGTTAACGGTAAACTGTTTCGAATAAAAATATTATTTGATTTTTTAAAATACTATTCTGATTTTTTCCATATAATTATATATACTTTTATTATTATTTATGTCACGTATACGTCGGAAATTTAGAAATCTGTCCAATTTAATTCAATATGTTGAATCTCCATTATGATATAGAATTTTTGTTAGCCACTATGAATATTTTATTAATTTATATAAATAATATATTTTTCTCTATTAAACTTATAACCGTCTGTGGCTGATGTAACAAAATTAATGATTCTAAATTAATATTAATAAAATGGAATTGAATTTTTGTCGTTGGATGTTGATCTTTAATATACTGTAATAAGACGTAAAATTGTAATCATTATACGTATTTCAAGCGAAATGCGTTTAAAAAAAAAATATTTTTTCGGTAGATTATTTCGTCCTCTATGTAAAATGTATGGCATTAAATATATAACATATTTTAATACCATAAAATTTATATTTTGGATTCTAAAGATTGTGTGATGTATGGTTTTGTAAATTTCGCTTGAAGCCAAAGATGTATTTTTTGTGTTCACTATTCCACGGGACGTGTGTTGTGTTAGACAGTTTATTTTAATATATCTTCAATATATATAGGGGTATATTTTTTTATGATTCAGACACTCGCTACAGATTCGTTTTTAATGAATCGTCTTCAGAGCGTGTCGTGTCTCAATATTTTAGTTGTACGTTTAATTTCTGTAATATAAACCATACTAACTCGTGTATGTATATTCTAGAGTTCGTCTAATATATATATTTTTAGTTGTTTATTGTTATTATATAGTACTAAGCAATAACTCGTACAGATTGTCCGTACGTTGTATTCTAATGTTGTTGAGCGTTGCTAAAACTAAGTCACTTACATTAGTTTTATTTAAAAACATGAAAATGTATTTATTTATTAAATATGAATTAACATTCATGAGGGTTTTGATGTTTTATTTGATTATCCTATCTTAAATTTCATAACTATATGTGAAAACTATATTTAAAATATCAGACATTATCCTGAAGAAAATCCTGCTATCTTTATGATAAAATGAGTATGAAATAAAATGGTAATGTATGTGTGTATGTATGTTCCTCTTAAACTTGAAAATTACGTATCATTACATATAAATTACTGTTCACATAAAGAAATAATTACCGGTCCTGCATTCATCATTTACTTAATTATACATTATAAACAAAACAGACTTAGCTATTGCTTCCATAAGTCCAAAAGTACAACCGTTTACAATAAAAAAATCATATATTGAATCTTCTTCTTCTACCTGGCAATTTCCCAGCTTTAGCCAGGGTCTGCCTTAATTGAATATAATTAGAAATTACTATCAAAAACAAAATTGCACAAAAAAAGTTCAGATTTTTAAGTAAACCCGTGAATTTAATGATTAGACGATTAGACGAAAAATTGACAGGCAGAAGGTAACATCAATAATTCATTAATGTTACTTAAGTATTTTAAAGCAAAATAGTATTAAAATAAATTGTAAATTATATTAGGTACAGAACGTGCATGCAATTTGAATATTTATCGGGGGTGGATTGAGAAGCTGTCGATAGTATGAAACGTGGTCAAACTTGTCCCATCTTATAATATCGAATGCACAAGTTTTAATTACTATGTTGAAGATGTCTGACCAGTAGCTCATCTTGGCAAATTGGGAAATGTATACACAGTTAGAAGGCCCAATACAGTATGGAAAGTTACACAAAGCGTCTCCACTGCAATAGTTATCGATTGAAGTTTTGAGAGAGGACACAATATTTCCTTTAAACAAATGAAAATAATATTGCTTTTCAATAATATTCCATGCACTGAAAGGAATAATTATGCATTTAAATAATTCTGTGTTTATTGAAAAGTAAGCTAGACTCAACAGTGGTTATTCGTTGCCTAATCTAAAGTTCATAAGCACTAATTGAAACTAGATATGGAAATTTAACAAATATTTTTCGATACAATTATGATGAGGATTACTTTCTACTCCGTGATTCTTGGATGCCAGTTCAAGGACAAGTGGATTAAGAAGGACTGTAAAGTATTCATTGTTTTTTTTTTAAATAAAATTATTATTAAAGTGACACTACATTCGAAAGATTAAACATTTCGAAGAACGGATGGTTTTAATTAGGAAAGACTCAGCACAAGATTGCTATTAGGTTCTACGCGGCGTACACAAGGTGCAGAGTCGACATAGGCGAGAAAACATTTTTGGCTGGGCACCCAACTAGGGACTAAAAATAGCAGAGATCTTGCCGACTTCTGGCTACAAGCAAAAATCTTCGCTAGGGTATTCCGAGACCAGGTGGGGAATCTCTGGTCAATGAAGTAAAACCCTAGGCATCTAGGCTTTAGGGTTCTAGCTCACCACTCTCAATTAACTCAGCCTAACAACACTGGGATGTGCCATCGCACGTAGTGGTTGCAAATCGTTCGCTTTCGTGAGTGTTAAGCGCGGCGACATGCAGGGAGAGTTATTTGGAAATAAAACATAATTTCCAACGTAAAAAAGATCAAATATCCAAAAAAGATGTATATTTTTTGGAGAACAAGCTTTCCATCAAGCACATTAAATTGCAAAATTATAAATATAATAAGGGTAAAATAATATTAAACAATACTTTAAAAGTGAGTATTCAAAATTATTATCAAAACTAACGGCTCAAAACTTTGTTTTCGGGAACTCTTACTTACAAAAGTTAACATTAAATACATATTATATCAAAAATGCAACATTTTTCGAAAAAGGAACACTGAAACCCTGACAGTTTTAATATACCTATTGACTAGAATAAACAGTCATAACAAAACAAACATTACATTCAAGTTTTCTATGCAAATACCCCAAATTAATTTGAATACGTTACTGTTAAAATAGTGAAAAAATACCGTACTGAGTATTTATTGTTTTAAAACTTGTGTCAAATAAATAATACCTAAGTGCTCTAGAGCCTGGTTTGATAAGTATACGAGTAGATATGTACATACATATATATGTAGTTCAAGATCGACACAAGCAAACTTATTCCAATTTTGTGAAACGAACAGTTAATTAATTCTATGAGCAGAACCCAATAGAATTAATAAGTATATACTGAGAGATTAAATAACATATATCGATAGTAAAAGCAGTTTTTAAATAAATCAACTCAGTTTTAGTTTTGATACTGCTATTAGGTATTGCGTGTAACTATTATATTCGTACTATACTATTATATATTGATCATTCGTTTTTTTTTACATAAATATAATAGATTTAATTAATTAACTTAAGGTACCTGTAGTCTGTAGATCATCAAAATCAAGTAAACAACAATAATTAAATACTACGTAACAATAATTAAATCTTAATGTAATATG